ACCTGGACGACTTCTGCGATCTCCTTTGATAAACAAGATACCTGCTTTTCTCGGTCACTTTTCAGACTAACTCTTCTTCATGTGAGAAAACAAGAAGTCTAACAGGCCGAAGCCACAGTCACAAAGCACGAGTGTTTACATCAGCAAAGAGTTTCTGAGAATCTGCTTGATCTGCAGTCTTCATAAAATAAACATAAAATCCAGGATATTACAGAACAGCTTAGATTTTTGTACGAAAACTCATTAAAGGACAAACATTTGTTAAAAGACGCCCGCCCTGGCTGACTTTTAGATGATCATTTTATTTTGAAAATCATTTTTAACATGCTGCAGAATGTTTCAGCACTCATCTGTTTTGTTGAGGACCGTCAGTCCAAACTAAATTTAACTATTTCTGTAAAACTGAATTACAGCTATTATGTATTAAGGTTGATTAGCTTAGATGTGGAAGAATTATGTTTTTTAACAAAATAAATAAAATCTATCCTCTTACGTAGGTTCAGTACTGACATGTTGGTCATATTTTAGCAGATGATTGGAGCCACAGATGTCACCTTTAACCCTTTTTAGCTAAACTCCCCTGCATGTCTACATCAGCTGCAGAAATACATCAGAGATAAAAAATCATCAGATTTATATGAGTCAGACTTGATTTCCTGCTTTTTGTCAGACACTGTATAGTTTTTTTTTTTAATGTAAATCTGTTTAAACAGCAGAAATGCCTCATTGTTATGAGTTTGAATAGTTTTACTGGACTTATTCACAACAAGACAAAAGTAACCTCCACGTCTCAGTTCTGTTATTTTAAGGCATTGCAAGATCAATTTTATTTATTTCACTGGAAAAATCCTTAACAAGCATATTATCAGTCTGTGGGCAGGAAGTGGAGTATTTGGAGAAAACACGCAGACTCCACACAGAGAGACCAAGCTGGGAATCGAACCCAGGACCTTAATGCTGGTAGGCAACAATGTTAACCACTAAACCACCGTGCATCCAGAAGTACCTTGTGGACAGAGTGTTGCAAGCCAGTCTCAGTTCTTCTTCAGATGGGGGGCGGGATGAAAACTGCGAGAAACCATCATCCTCTGAGTTCTGCGAGTGGTTCAGGGGGGTGTAACCTTTCCCATCCTGAGGGGATCAGAAGCAACTTAAAGATTAAAAAAAGCTTTTTGATAGAAGATGAACTTATTTCAGAAGGACTTACGGGCAGGCTGTTGTCCTGCAGCAGGTCTGCCAGAATCTGAACCAGCGCAGGAAACGTGGGCCTCTCTTTAGGCTCTCCCTGCCAGCAGGCCAGCATGATGCCGTATCTGCCAGCAGAGGGCAGCAGAGAGTCACAAACAAAAAAACAGCAGCACATTCCTTAAGGTGACCTCGAAGTCCAGTTATCAAAAGGTGAGAGTCAGCTCCCGGAGATGGATTGATGAGCTGAAACAAATCTGAAAGGAAGAGGCAATTTTCCCCTCAGATCGAGGAGGAAACAGCAAAAAGAAATATTTACATTTCAGGCGACGCGGTCTCTGGTGCTCTCATCCTGAAGCCATCCTTCAGCCGTTTGCAAAAGTCTTCATCAATCTGCACTCCTGGGTACGGAGATGCACCTGAGGTGGGGGACACATTCATTAAGATGTCAGCTGCAGGAAAACAAGCCTTTGTGTGTTTGGATAAAAAGGAAGGTTATTTTTTTCTGTTTGGCAGGAACAGATGCTCCTCGCAAAACCTCCTGGAGCAGTTTGCATCCAAATGATTTGTGTTCAGATTTCTAACTCACCAAGCGAAAAGATTTCCCAGAGGAGGACTCCGAAGGACCACACATCACTCTGGCTGGTGTAGACTTTGTCAAAGATGCTCTCCGGAGCCATCCACTTTAAAGGCAGACGAGCCTGGGAGAGCACCAAACAGCAGTGATGAATAGCACAAACAAACAAACAAACATACAGGAAGCAGTTTTATAGTCTGCCTGCAGCGGGTGGATAAAAACCAGGAAGTGGCACTGCAGGAGGGAGAGGAGGACGCACGTTTCCTTTCCTGACGTAGTCGGGGTCTTTGTAAATGTCTCGGGCCAAACCGAAGTCACAGATCTTCACAATGTTGTTCTCTGACAGGAGGATGTTTCGAGCTGCCAGATCTCTGTGAATACACTGCACACACAAACACACACACACAGTTTGGATAGTGACAGTTGTTTGTGTCTGTGTCAGTTCATATCTGGACCTGGACTCTGGAGTTTCTGCAACATCGTCTTTCAAACTGTCGTTTACTTTTTGGTACAGCAAATAATTTAAGAGACTCGTTCAAAGCCAGTCTGTCTGCTTCATGTCTTCATAATGGTGTGCCACAAGGCTCAGTTTTAGGTCCCATTCTTTTTACAATTTATATAAATAATGTACGGTAGGTCAAAACATTCTTGACGTATCCTTGCGTATGCCGATGACACTGTTGTTGATTGCCGAGCTAACACAGTTGCCAGGGTTTTCCATCTTCTACAGTCTGCATTTGACATCATTCAGTCAGATTTGTTCCACCTCAACCTGGTGCTAAATGCTGACAAAACCAAAGGGATGTTGTTTTCCAACAGACAGTCGGTGCCAGCAACTCTTCCTCCTGTCTCATCCACGCATGGTGTTCCTAGTGAGTTTGTAGATTCTTACAAATACTTGGGAATATTGGTTGATGCACATCTCTCCACATAGCGAAAACTTGGTAAAGAAACTGAAATTAAAACTGGGTTTCTTTTTCAGAAATAAATCTTATTTAACTCTGAATCCAGAAAACCCCTTGTAACCGCTTCTTTACTACCAGCCATTGACTACGGTGACATTATTTACATGAATGGCCATGCCAGCTGCTTGCAGATGTTGGATGTTGTCTACCATGGTGGTACCCATCACTGCACCCTGTACTCCTTGGTCAGTTGGTCATCATCATCTACACGTGGACTCTCACAGTGGTTCATCTTCATCTATAAATCCCTCCTTGGTCTGCTGCCTTCCTATGTCTCCTCCTACATGTCACGCTGTCAGTGCAGTTACACTCAGGACATCATTACCTGCAGCGTTCCCTCTGTGCAGACTGAACTTGGCAAAAAGGCCTTTTCCTACTCGGCTCCTGTAACCTGGAACACCTTGCAAAAGGAACTGAAGTTGTCCACCTTCATTTCTTTAAGGGGTTTTAAATAGTTGATAAGGTCAATAGAAACATCAAAGCAAATATGTTCTTGTTTTTAGTATTTTACCTTGTTTTACATCACCTTGATTTATTGTTTTATAACACTGCTTTTATTTTAAATGCATTGTAGTTTACTGTTATTGTTAAAACAGGTCAATGAGTCCTCGTGGCTCAATGAGACTAACCTGTAGACATAAAGGTTGAATGAATGTCTCACTCTCATATTCATAATTCATCCATTTATTTTCTTGTTTCTCCTTTCTGGGTCGTGTGGGTCATTGGTGCCTATCTCCAGCAGTCAGTGTGTGAGAGGCAGGGGGACACCCAGGACAGGTCACAAGTCCATCACAGGGACACATGGAGACAAGCGAGACAGCTCTTAATAATTTAATGACTCAGCGGTCACATTGACTCCCATTAGAGGTGGACTGTAATGGTTCATGCTCTGTGATGTGGTGTTCCTCAGGTCCATCAGTGTTTTTTAAGGATTTTTTATTTATTTATTTGAAAACAATCCAGTATGACTTAAAAAGTTTATATCTCCAATAAAAAGATGTTAAAAAAGCACAATTTGAAATGCTAAAAATCTGATTAAAAAAAAGAAAACACTCTACAGACCTGAATGACTCATTCATTGCCCCACTATGCAAGTTTTAGATTTTAATTGATTTAATTTTTATTTTTTATTTTACATAGATTTAAACATGAATCCTATATAACATTATTATTTTTTAATGGATTTAATCATATTAGCATTTTACTTCTTCAGTGTGTTTTAAAAATGAAAGTCTCATATCAGATGTACTTATTCAGCCTTAACCCAACTATTAAGAGTCAGAGAGTCAGAGTTTCTTTATTGTCATTCGCACCTCATGTGGTACATGTGGTGGAGCGAAATTATGTACACAGGGTCCTAGTTACATCCAACAATAAAATGTATAAGAAAAACAGTAATAACATCTAAGATATGAACTAAGAAAAACATCAACTAAATATACACTAAGCACTCATAACATAAAACATTGAACATCAGCACAAACATGAACATGAGTCTGTGAGCAGATGTGTGCACATGAACACAACCAAATTGAAACAGATCAGCAGCAACATGATATGGTTTTTCACAGTCATTATTCTAGTTAGAGATTCATGAGTCTAACAGCCTCAGGGTAGAAGCTGTTCCTCAGTCTAGTGGTTCTACACTTAATGCTCCTTAACCTCCTTCCTGAGGGGAGTGGGGCAAAAAGTGTGTGTGCTGGGTGAGTGGGGTCCTTCATGATGCAGGTGGCCCTCTTCCTGCATCTGGAGGTGTAGATGTCTGTGATGGTGGGGAGACTGATTCCAACAGATTTCTGTGCAGCCTTCACCACTCTCTGCAAAGCTTTTCTTTCTGCAGCTGTGCAGCCTCCATGCCACACATTGATGCTGGAGCACAGGATGCTCTCCACTGCACACCTGTAGAAGGAGGTGAGGACTGAGCTTCCCAGACCAGCTCGCCTCAGCCGCCTGAGGAAGTAGAGTCTCTGATGAGCTTTCTTGATCAGGCTGGTGGTGTTGTTGCTCCAGCTGAGGTTGTCATTCATGTGTACACCCAAGTACTTGTAGCTGGAGACCACTTCCACTGCAGATCCTCTTATGTTCAGGGGGGTGTAGATGTTTTTGTTCCTTCTGAAGTCTACAATCATCTCCTTTGTCTTCTTCACATTGATGTGAAGGTTATTCTCTCTTAAACTTTATTTAATGCTTGCTTTGGTTCGTAAATTCAAACAAAGTCCTCACTAATTCTTCTTAACGTCACAGAAAAAAAAAATATTTTAATCCCACAGCTACTCTGTACATTAAAACTTTGTATCAGGTCATATTAATAAACTAAGCCATGATGATGCCTTAAGTGGGTTTTCTCCAGGTACTCCAGTTTCCTCCCACAGACCAAAAACATGCATGTTAGTCTGACTGGTAACTCTGAATTGTCTCTAGGTGTGAGTGAGAGAGTGAATGGTTGTTTGTCTCTATGTGTCCCTGTGATGGACTGGAGACCTGTCCAAGGTGTCCCCCACCTCTCAGACAGCGATTGCTGGACATGGACACCAGTGACCCCCACGACCCAAAACAGAAGAAGTGGGTAAAGAGTATGGATGGACGGATGGATGGATGGATGGATGGATGGATGATGTCAATGAGTCTAACCCGTTAAATAGTGTAACATTTTTGATGGCGAGCACATTTAGGTCAAATCAATAAAATACCTCTGGTAATTGCATGAAATGTCACTAGACTGTGTAAAATTGTCAGACTTTTTAACAACTGTTGTGTGTTTCGAGGTCCATGAGCAGAGACGGCCATTTAAAATCAGAGTGATTTAAAAAAGGTCAGCTGCAGATGTACGTCTAATTATTAGGTTCTGACATTTTTTTAAATTGAAATCCATCCAGCTGTTGAAATGTTTTTCTCACTAGCCTCTTTGAGCCACGGGGACTCATTTACAAGACAGACCTGTTCCAGACTGAACATATAGAGCAACTAAACAGACTAACACACCAGTAAAAACGTTATTGCACACTTTTTACCGGCTGACGATGACTTTGAGATGATAAATACCTTTTCTTTTGAATGGCAATTGTTGCACAACTAATAATTTCACCGCTACTTAGAGAAACTGAGATTAACTCAGAAAACCACGAATCCATTTAAGTTTTCTGCACACACATTGTAGTTTGTAAATTATTTAATTATTTAAATTAAAGTCAGATAAATATGAAAAAGGATTGGGGGCACAGTGGGGAATTTTTTTTATTTATTTATTTGACATTTTTCTCATAATTCTGAAATTAAAGTCAGAATTATTCTGTTTCCCTCAGAATTCTCATTTTTAACTGAGAATCATTGAATTCTCAAATAAATTACAACTTTTTCCTCACAGTGGCTCCAACCCTGTTCTGTATAAAATGTACTGAAGATAAAATGTCCAGAATTTAAGACAAAATATTGCAAAACTAAATAAAAAAATATATATTTTAAAAACATAAAAATCAAAGTAACTCTGCTACAGTTCACACTTGTGAAATTTAAAGACATTTTATGGCATCAAACTGTTATTTACAAACTTTAAAATAAAAACCGTTGGTGTAATTAGGTCGTTTTATCCTTTCTGCTGTTTAATATTTGAATTCTGTCGAGCTAAACGCTGTGGAGCATCCAGCAACAAGCACCGACTGATTGATGCTGAAATGATGTGATTGCTGGGAGCAAAGTGGGTGAAGCACGTCTGAGCTACAGCCGCCCCCGCCTGAACAATCCAAACTTCTAACCTCTGCTCAGTCATTTAAACACAAAGGAGAGAGAGGGAACCTTTCTGGAGGCCAGGAACTCCATCCCCCGAGCCACCTGGAAACTGTAGCAGATCAAATCCTCGATGGTCAGGGGGGTTTTCCACAGGTCCTCCCCTGGAGAGGGAAACAGCACGAGGTGTGAAATCATGCACGTAAAAATACATTTAGTACTCAAGATGCCAAGGTGATTCACTTTTCTCCACCGCCGGACTCTGATTGGACGCCCTGGATGATGTCACGTGAGGTGTGGAGGCTGCAGGAGGAGGCGGACGCCCTCTCTGCTCCACCTGACCGGCTTCAATCATCCGCCTCACCTGGCTCTGGGTTTTTGGAGAGCGGTCCTGAAACAGAGCACAGCGTGATGCACCGCCTCTAAACTCGGCACAGAATGAGTCACGAGTGGAAGTGACGGCGAAAAATATGGACAAAAATTACATCAGAGAGGGGAAAAGAGCAAATATTAGTCCAACTAGATATAAAAGGAAGAAGACGAACAGCTTGAGCTCAGTTTTCATACCCGGTAGGGCAGGAAGAACTCCCTCTTGCCTCGCAGGAAGTTGGACAGATTTCCATACTTACAGTATTCCACGATCACCATCAGTGGACCTGGAAGCAGAAGATGGAAATATTTGTTTTTCTTGTGCATATTTTAAAGAATTAACATGGATTTACACAGAACTAAAATACTAAGGGGAAAAAAGAGAGATTCCCACCTTTTGCTTAGGAACACTTTAGGAAGGGTGAGGTTCTGCCTCAAATGGAGGAGTTCAAGTATCTTGTGGTTTTGTTTACGAGTGAGGGAAGAATGGAGCGTGAGATTGACAGACGGATTCGTGCAGCATCTGCAGTATTGTGAACTTTGTGCCGGTCCGTTGTGGTGAACAGGGAGCTGAGCTGTAAGGTAAAGCTCTCTTGTTTCCTGTGTCTACCCTCACCTATGGTCACAAACTTTGAATAGTGACCAGAAGAACAAGATTGTGGATACAGGAAATGAGTTTCCTCCGCAGGGTAGCTGGACTCTCCCTTAGAGAGAGGGTGAGAAGTTCAGTTATCTGGGAGAGACTCCGAGTAGAACCGCTGCTCCTCCACATCGAGAGGAGCCAGTTGAGGTGGTTCGGTCATCTGGTAAGGATGCTCCCTGGGCCTCTCTCTAGGGAGGTGCTTCAGGCATGTCTGACTGGGAGGAGACCCCGGGGACGACCCAGGACACACTGGAGACTGTCTCTCAGTTGGCCTGGGAACGCCTTGGAATCCTCCCAGAGGAGCTGGAAGAGGTGACTGTGGAAATAGATGTCTGGGCCTCCCTGCTCAAGCTGCTGCCCCCACAACTCCACTTCGGAACAAGCGTAAGATGATGCATGGATGGATGGATGGATGGATGGATGCATGGATGGATGGCTGGATGGATGTTTAGGATCTCGAGGTTTGCTTGCCAAGTAAAAACATTTCCACACTCTCAGTATCAGTGTCGGTGTATTTAGATGAACCCTTGGTAGTTTTTTGTGTTTATAGTTGAGGTTCTCTGTTTTTGGATGTTCTGTTCCTCTGAGCTTCCCTGTGCCTTTGATTCATTTTTACCCCCCCCCCCCCCCCAGTTCTTTACTTCTGTTCAGCTCTTCCTCAGTCCTTCCACACCCGCCTACACCTGTGCTCCTTAAGCTCAGCTCCTCCTCCTCTCCTTGTCATCCTCAGTCCTTAAAACCCCTCACCATTCAGTCCAGAGCAGTTTAACCCTTTTCTCCATTCATTCAACCTTTATTTATACAGGTTAACCCCATTGAGCCGCGGGGACTCATTTACAAGAGAGGCCTGATTTTTGGACAAAGAGTGATGACGACAGTGAGCAACAACGACAACAATAGAGTCACAAAATACAATTTTTTTTACTGTAGATGTCAGTCGTGGTTCCTGCCGTGCCTCTTCTCTCCTTCAGTTTGGTAAGTTTTGTTCTGCTGCCGCTCAGTCTGTTGTTTTGTTAATGAAAGTTTTTAGCTAATCTTTTGCGCTTCCTGAGTCGAGTCGGTTTAAATCCTGCTGCCACAGTGACGCCCTTAAAATGTGCTCAGTAGGTCAACTTGATGCATGGATTAAAAAAAAGCATTCGTTTGACTTCGCTTTTGGATTTCTGGTTTTGGATAGCTCATAGCTGCTTCAAGGTTTAACAAAATGAAAAGCTTCATAAAACTCATTATGGGATGGAGCTGCACATGTGTATGCACCATCAAAAAAACACTGCTTTCATAATGTGCACAGGAAGTTTTCAAATGTAAAAACAATTTGCACAGGAGTCTGGTTTTATCATGAACATCTTTGCGTTATCAATGTGAGGAATCGATTAGCTCAAAGAGACCTGCTCAGATGTGTTTGACAAGAGCTTCAGCTACTAACACGCTAAATATTAACTTAATACTTGCACAACTGAGATATAAGAAATATTTTTTTGTTTACTATCAGTCAGCGGCAGCCATTTTGAATGAGGTTGACTCCAAATATTCAGTTGTAGATGCACGTCCAGGGATTACTTTGATTCATTAATAGTCCAGACAAATGGACACTCTGAGGTCAAACCTCTGCCGCGCATGTGTTGAGCAGCGGGCGGTAAGCACGCAGACTCACCGTTTGGTTTGGTGCAGGCTCCTAACAGGTTGACCACGTTCAGATGGTTCCCGATGTGGATCAGGATCTTTAACTCTGACATCAGAGCTTTGTGCTCGCTGGCTGTGGCTCCATCTGCAACAAACATTGTTTAGATTTTTCTTTTGGACAGCTTCCGTTTTTCACCATGTTCTTCCTGAAACCGTACACTAACTTAACATCTTGGAGACATTTCTGTGGGTTGGTTAGCAGCTGCTCATCTCTTGTCCTGTACAAACTGGGACTGGTTCAAACTAAAAGGTATTTCTAGAGAAACGTTGACTGTGTCAGTCAGAGACTTCTCAGAGTCTGAGCAGCTTCCTGATGGTGAATTCAGCGAACACGTGAAGGTGCAGCTGTTTGTGTTTTCATTGGCTAACTGAATTAAGTGTGCGACAAAGCACATTTCGTTAAGACAGAACTCTAAAATCTGAGCAGATAGTTGAGGGTGGAGCTGTCGGCAGCAGCCGTGCAGTACAAACTCAGATGAATGTCACCTTTCAGCATTTTGACGGCCACCGTGTCCAAACTGCTGCTCCTGCAGGTGCCGTGCATCGACGCTTCAATTACTTTTCCAAAAGCACCGTGACCCAAAACCTTTCCTACATCCAGACAGAACAGGGAGAAAAGAGAGGCGTAGCATTATTATTTTTTAAAGTTTAATTCAAATCCATTCAGTGGTTCGTGAAATATTTTGCTAACAGACTCTAATAGTTAAGGGTAAAGTTTTAAACTGGGAACTCTCCCCATCAGTTCCAACAGTTCATGTTCAGACAGGACCGTGGAAACGGGGCTGTGAGCGCGAGTGAACTTGAGTAAAAATATCATGAAGCCCAACGTTAGCAGTAAAATGCACAGTGGCTTTAAACAGTTGCATATCCTTACAAAATAAAACAACACGTTTTTAAGATTGTAAAATTTTGCACACAAAGAACAGCAATGCAGCTTTTTGTAACAAATAAAATAATAATCTAAATAGTGTTTCCTTTTAAACATGGGTATAAAACTAAAAACATTAAAAATGATAGATTAAACAAAAATAAATGTAACTGTGCGTTTAGACAAACTCTGGCATCCATTCGGAAATGTTGCAGCACCCTCAGCACCCCTGCTTCCCACAAGCTTGCACACAGAGTGTGTGTTGGGTATGACCCTCAGCCACTACCACAACACATTTTAGCTCAATATTTGTAAGACTGATTAAACTACAGATATTTTTTTAAGGTCAGTTAGCCATGGTGGCCATCTTGACTTGGTTTGACTCAAAAAGCTAATCAGTTGCAGACATACATCTAATGATTACTTTCTGAGCATTTCATTTGAATCCATTCAGTGATTCATGAAGTATTTTAACAGACACACAAACACAAGTGATGATAAGAGGAATAAAAATATCAACGGCAGCTTTTGGAATCATCATGTTCCCATAAGATGCTATGAAACGTTTTCAAAAAGTTTGTTTTCAGTGACTCTCCGTGCATGTGTGGGTTTTCTCCAGGTGTTCCAGTTTCCTCCCACAGACCAAAAACATGCATGTTAGACTGACTGGTAACTCTAAAATGGTCTCTAGGTGAGAGAGAGAGTGAGAGAGTGAATGTTTTTTTGTCTCATTTGTCTCTATGTGTCCCTGTGATGGACTGGAGACCAGTCCAGGGAGTCCCCCACCTCTCACACAGTGATATCTGGACATGGGCATCAGTGACACCAGTGACACCAGTGACCCCCGCAACCCGAAATACAAGAAGTGGGTAAAGATGATGGATGAATGTTTATGCATCCAACAAAGTTACAGTAAGTCATGTCATCTGGACGGTTTCTTTTCTTTCTTTTTTTGTTGTTGTTGAGACGTTTCGTCCTTCATCCAAAGGACTTCATCAGTCCGAGGAGCCATAACAAACTTGGTCCCACAAGCAGCACACCCCCATAGTGAACCAACCGGTTTGCTGGTAATAAGATGGTTTCTGGGGCCCGCCTTCTCCCCCGTCAACTCCTCTGTGGCAGCCATAGCCAGTGGTTTAAAAAAAAAAAAAAACGTCCAAAGGACTTGACTTAACATTGTTGGATTTTTTTTTACCTGGATTATTGAGTATGGACTTTGATGTTTTGAAACACTTTGGCCATGGCTGCCTGAGAGGAGTCGATGGGGGAGAGAGCGGGCCCCAGAAACCATCTTATTACCATCAAACTGGTTGGCCCACTATGTGCGTGTGCTGCTTGTGGGACTCAGTTTGTAGTGGCTTCTCAGACTGATGAAGTCCTTTGGATGAAGGACAAAACAACTCAACAGTAACAAATTAAAAATAAACCGTCCAGATGACCTGACTGACTTTGTTGGATATTTTTACCTGGATTATTGAGCATGAACTTTGAAGTTTGTTTACACAATTTTTGCAATCTTTTACGTCATGCTTTGTTTACAGTATTTTAGAAATGGCTGAAATAGCACATTCAGCTCATTCAGGATGTGGGTACTCTGACCTTTTGGTTTTGAGGACTTTTCCAGTTCTTAAAATATCTCACTTTACAAACAATCCTTCCGCCGTACAAATACATTAGAAACTCTTGAATCCTTTCAAAAACATTGCCTTATTTAAAATCTGCTTCAGAATACTCGCTCTGTGTTTGTCATCTTATGCTACATTTAGCCACTGTTGCTACTAATTGCTGGTGTTTTGCTCCTTTTAGCTTATAGCTACTAATCTGCTTCTTTTTAGCACACTTCAGCAGTCATTCATGCACCCACACTGCATTTTCACAGAAAACTCAACAAGTTAACATCAGCTCCCATTGACCCATTTGGGCCCCCGTTTCCTGGTTGCTCACCCAGTCTCAGTCTGTCTCTGGAGATCTCCCACTGTGACGAGTCGTAGGGGAGGTATTCACACTGCTCGTCCAGCGGCACCTCCCCCGGGTCCATTATGATTGACAGGTAGCCCGTCTTTATGTCTGCTGGGTTAACCTGCAGCTCAGAGGGAGAGAGGGACAGAGCTCGTGTAAGGTGAGGTCAGAGGTCAAGAGGGGGAGTTCAATGAACCACGTGCAATGAATGATAAACAGCATGATCGTCTCAGACCAGACTTCTACCAGGATGAGTTGTTTAATCCTTTTCCTCCTCTAATGGATGTGTAAGAGGTTGTTAGTGTTTGACTGACAGGCTGAGCTCCAGCTGGAGGAGAAGCTGCAGCGTTTCTTCTGAGTAAAGGGACCAAAGTGACATTTCCACATGCTTACGTGTTTAATGCTGCTTATATGTTGAGGCGAATGAAGCAAGAAATATTTATTATCGCCCTTTTTTGCCCATGTCTGTGTCTGTGTATGTATTTGTATGTACCATTAGCAATATATCATGAATCACAGAACAGATTTTACTGAAACTCTCAGAAAGTATCTGTTGGATGGTACAACTGATTCACCTTTGGAGTCAACCTAATTCAAGATGCCACAACTAACTGAGGTTAGCCAACATAAAAATGGCTGCTTCTCAGTATTTGTTCTAAATATTGAGCTAAAACGATGGTCATTGCACACTCTAAGCACTAAAATACTATACAGAACATCACACTATCACATAAGTTATTTTAAATTTTAACCAAAGTGGCAGTCTTTATTTGTATAAAATCTATAAATCATGGCCGACCTCTTACGCCATGTGTTTAGTCCAGTACAGGTACGTGTGTCAAATCAAAGAGTAGCCTTGGAGCTAAAAACATCTGAAGGTCACTGCTACGACATCCTGCCAGCACAAGGTCTTTGTTACACAAGAAAGAAACTTTAGAAGGAAAAACAATGTGGGCCGCTCAAAGTCTGCTGTTATGAGCTGGCAGGGTGTTTGTCACTGTTTATAGCCCATCTGTGCGTTCATACGGTGGTAAGTGATACAGTTTTATTGGCAGAGTAAAAAGGTAAATTTAGTCCAGAATAAACGTGAATCATGTAGTTACAAAATAAGTTGTTCCAGCAGATTTCTGTGAATTAAAGTGAACGTTCAGATCTGTTGCAGCGAGGTTCTCTGGAAAGATTATGATAAAATATTTGATGTAGCTTTTTGAATGACCTCAGTTTGGATAATTAGTTTAATTCTAACTGGGTTGGCAAGTTAGTTCAAAAGCAAAGTGTATTACTGCCTTGTGTTAAGAATGGACAGGGTTACGGCCTATTTGGTCAAACATTGTAAATGATGTTATACATAATCTCAGATTAGATTATAAGAGCCCACAAGATGTGTTAACATTCAAAGTGTGTTGTAAATGACTCTCAACTCCTACAATGCCAAATTTTAGCTCAATATTTGTAAAAGTCACTGAGGTGTAGCCATTTTTGTTTTGGCTAATTTTTCTAGCTGTGGTGACCAAATTTTTCATATGAGATATGATAAGTTGTAGCTTCAAATGGAGACAAATATAAACCAAACAGAGAGGGAAAGGCCACCTGGAAAATATTTCAAATGTCATAAATGACTAAAAGAAAGAAAAAAGAGCTGGAACTGAGTAGGTAAAGCTACAACGGGTGGAACACTAGCTACAAGCTAAAGCAAGACGCTTCCAAAGAAAGGCTAGCTAAAAGCTAAAGTGGTAAAACGTTAGTTGAAAGCAGCAAAACGTTAAGCTAAATGCTAAAAGTAGCTAAAGAACACAAAAAATAGAACAAGTATGCTGCTTTCAAAGAGCACATTTTGAAGAAATCTCAAATAATCTCTATGGAGAAATCATTTATGAATAAAGTTAAATGTTCTGAAAATATTAAAGCTTGTAGCACCCTGAATGAGTTGAACCTTTTGATATTTAAAAAGCTAAAATAGCACAAATGTACGGAAGAGGATTAGGGCCACCGTGCAAAAAAATATATATTTGTTTTCTTAATTTTGAGATCAAAGTCAGAACACATCTATCTAAACAAGTCTCTTGAAAATGAGTCCTCGAGGCTCAATGAGACTAAACTGTATAAATAAAAGTTGAATGGGAAAAAAATATATTGCACCGTATCTCTACTTGTATTCTGTACAAATATGTAGAAATAATTAGAAAAAAAAAAACTTTTGAAAAATAGAAAACAGGAGAACAACAGAGTGAAATCTGACTCAGCGGTCCAACAATAAAAGTCCTTTTGAGCAGGTCTAGCAGCACGACTGGACTCAGCAGCTCTGTTTCAGGGTGACTTCCACCGTGACAAACGTTTGGGCTCAGAGCCCAGCGGCAGTGTGTCAACAGTCAGAGGTCAAACTCTTGGTTTCTCTCACAAACACAGAGGTAGAAAGTCCTCTGACCCGTTTCACGTTGCAGAAGATGAGGATGAGCAAGACCCAGAAGAAAACGGCGATGACTGCGGTCCCGATCAGAATCACTATCTCCACGTTGGCCTTGTCACTCGAACCTTACCACAAAGAAGTAAACAGAAAGAAGAACACTTAATACTGTGCTGCTGATTATCCATGCTGCTGATCTCATGCTGCTGTATTCATTCATTCAGACTCATGTTCGTGCTGCTGTTGTTCGGTGTATTGTTTTTGTACTACTAGCGTTTAGCGTATATCTTAGTTTATATCTTAGATCCTTATTTGCTGTTTCTTTTTACACTTCATATTTTTGCTGTTGGATGTAACTGGGACCCAGTGTGCACAATTTTGTTCCACCTCATGTACCACATGTGATGTGACAATAAAGAACCATCCATCCATCCATTATCTTTACCGGCTTATTCCATTTTGGGTCACGGGGGTCGCCGGTGCCCATGTCCAGCAATCACTGTGCGAGGGGCGGGGGACACCCTGGACGGGTCTCCAGTCCATCACAGGGCCACATAGAGACAAACGAGACAAACAACCATTCGCTCTCTCACTCACACCTAGGGACAATTTAGAGTTACCAATCAGCCTAACATGCATGTTTTTGGTCTGTGGGAGGAAACCGGAGCACCCGGAGAAAACCCACGCATGGACGGAGAGAACATGCAAACTCCACCCAGAAGGTCCCCTGGACTGGGGTTTGAACCAAGGACCTGCTCGCTGAGAGGCAGCAGCTCTACCAGTTGCGCCACCGTGCTGCCTACAATAAAGAACCTTGAACCTTAAATTATTACACTTTAACACCCCGCCCCCCCATCAAGGTTTGCGCCCTGCACCAACTACAGGAGGCGCTGCGTCACAGAGTTTACCGCAGCTCTTTAACATCAACTCTTCGGCTGAAATCAGTTTGAAGAGCAGACTTTTACCCTTTTCATGAATTCTGTTGAAACCACTTTCAGTAATGCTGCTAAATTATTCATTCTGACTACAAAACGTCCACAATGTCAACGAGTTTAATTTGGAGAGCAGCAGTCGCCACGTGAACTTTAGCTGCAGTCAGTCTGAGAGGCCGAAATGTGCACTTTGTACAGGCCTGAGTGCACCTGAGACTAATCTGTTTGATTGTGCATGTGTGTGTGTGTGTGTGTGTGTGTGTGTGTGTGTGTGTGTGTGTGTCTCACCGATGACCCTGACAGCCGCTGAGGAGTGGACGCAGCCTCGCTGGTTGCAGGCGGTGCAGGTGTAAAGGCCAGCGTCCTCCTCTCTGACCCGCTGGATACTCAGTGTGCGGTTTGAGTCCTGCAGCTGGACCCCTGTGGAGGGGGGGGGGGGGGGGGGATAATAAGTGGCATACACTCTGCAGCTCCTGTGTGTGTGTGTGTTTGAGCAAAATGTATCATGAATCACTGGCTGGATTTTATTGAAACTTTCATCTGTTAATCACTGGAGTCAGCACGACTCAAGATGTCCACCACATCTAACGGACCTTAGCCTGGAGACAAACGGATATAACTCAGTGAATTTTATAGATTCGGAGAGAAACGTTGGCGTGGTAGTAGCCGACAGTCATTCACAACAAGTGCTAACAAATCACGTGACTTATCGCATCACGGTATTTTCTAGGCTTACCCAAAATGGCGTTTGTGTAATTCTCAACAAAAAAATGAATTTAGTCTAAAACTCTGCCATGAAAGTTACACTAGGCCTTTAACTTCCATCTTTTTTTTAAAAGTTTTGGATTCTTGTCACACCTCCGGTTATCAATCTGTAGCTCTCATTTATTATTCCATCATCCTACAAGCCAGGCTACATGTCTTAGTGGCCCGCCTGAGTTAACCTGAAGCTCAGGCTGTCAATCAAATCCACTTGGCACTCAGGAAATGTACTCGATGAGAATAGAAATGAGTGGTTTGTTGGACAGCTGCGGTTTATTCCGTGCATGGACTCCTGTCAATAGCTAAGGTGTTTACTCGGCAGCATGAGGTTAACAGTATTTATACTGTTACATTTATATGATATCAAAAGTTTATCACCTACAGCCATGAAAGGTGACCTTGACAAGAAGCGGGTGATGTGCACTCCTTCAAGGAACGCCAGTTTTTTCAATTATCTGATGATTTTGATGTGAAGAAGTGGATAATTAATTGACTTCCTGCTGGTGTGAGCGTTGGTGGGCAGTGTTGCGCAAACGTAGCATCACCTGTGTGTGCGTTTGGTTTCGTATTCACCTGACGTTTGGTGGAGAGGCTGGTGGTCCTTAAACCAGGAGAGCCGGGGCAGAGGTCTGCCCTCCACGTCGCACTCCATCTGCAGAGACTGCGTTACGTTCACCGTCTGGTTGGTGAGGCTGCGCTTGTACCGAGGCGCCTCCAGGGCTGGAAACGACAACAAACGGAACAAAACTGGAGTTATGAAAAGAATAAATAGTGAAAAAAAATATTTATTTTTTTCCCACTGATGTGCACAGTAGAAGCACACGTGTAATGTTGTATGACTGAAAAGGTAAATATAAATAAAATAGTCCTGAAGGGACTGATGAGAGAGTTTCAGCACAGAGCATGAATGAAGCATGAAAAGTGTTTGTGTGTTTCTGCCTCCGCTCTGTTTTCTGTCCCTACATATCTACGCTGTGCAAACACCAGGTACTCTCTCCCGTTATGTGTGGGCACCAGAGAGCGTGGGCATCCCTTTGTGAGTGTGTGTAATTATAAGCCTCCAGCATTTCAGCACCAGCTCCACTCCTGCGGCCCATCATGTGTGTTTCCTCCGCACAGCGTTGCCCTATAATTATCTGTAACTGGAGTGAATGTTTCTACTCATTTCTGGGGCTTTCATCTCTTTTTTTTTTTTTTTTTACCTCCTCACCTTTGACAGAGATGTATCTGGACAGACACTGCTTCTCCCCGGTGCGCCTGCTCTGAGCCGTGCACACATAATGTCCCTCGTCCTGCAGCCGTATGGACTCTGCGGTGAAGTCCGAGACCCAGCTGTTGGAGGGTCTCTGGAAAAAGAGCTGGCCCTGAAGGAGTTTGGCGTAGAGGTGCATGCTGCTACAGTCCAGCTCCTGAGGCTTAGCGCGCTGGTCCTGCAGGGCCTGGGGGTTGAGACGGTACCACTGCAGCTGATCGTAGGTGTAGTTGTCAGCACTGCAGCGCAGGGACACTTTCTCCTGCTCCAGAGGAGACTCCGAGGGCCGAACGTCCACACTGAAGCCCTCAGGGATGGCTTTGGAGGTAAACAAAGGTCAATGAGGGGTCGGGGTGAAACACTGTATCAAACAGTAAAAAGCATTCCCTAAAAGATCATTCCATCTAACTTACAGCGATAAAAAACATAAACTGAAGGCTCACACTTAAATCCAGGGGATGTTGATGGAAACTCTTTGGTTTGAGCGTCTCAATAAAACGGTGGAGAGGGAAATGTTATTTGTGCCGCTCGGTGCGGGTACCCTGAAGGCCAGCCTCATCCCGGGAAGTTTTAATACGAGTATTTCTCTGGCATTAAAGCGTTCCAGGTAATAAATTTTGGGGACATATACACAGAGAGGTCATTGCAACCAGTAAAAGATAAAACTATCTGGGATTGTTCTCCAACAGGTTTGGCATAAAAAGTATCAAGTTTTTTGACTAATGGGTAAAACTTTGTATCCACAAAACTCGAACAATAACTGCAGAGACTATTCATACATGCACAAGGAAGATCCCAACCTTATAACATGTACAGATTATTTTTCTGCTGAAACATTCTACCTAAGAAAAGACCTATTGTTGTCTCTATGTATAAACTACACTCACCAACAAACATGGTGGAGCACTCTTAAACCTGGATGTCCACAGGAAGACCTCAACATGACCCAGACAGTCTTTAGACAGGTGCTTCTTTGTTTTAAAGACTGTACCAGCCTCAAGAGGGGTTAGACACGCATATGCAAGATGCCACCCTGTTGCATCATCAGTGCCCCTTGAATCACTACCAGAGGAGATGGACCTGAAGTGTCGTGCAGCTAATGGTTCTGCTTGGCCCCATGCAAACTCTATAAAGTGCAGGTAATGTTGTCTAATGTGTCCACAAGGCATCCTGTGTGTCTGTTGCTCTTCATTCACCGTTTTGACTGTCAAATGCTCTGGCAACTGCCTGATAACACTGACACTCCACTTGTTATGCTATTCCGTACACAGCATGCCCTTTGGTGCCTGTTCTAGACTCGCCAGCTCCTTTCAAATCGATCATTTACTTATCCTGCAGTGGCCTGCATGCAAATCTAATAAACTCCCAATCAGACCGTTCCATGTGGGGCTTCTTTCTTTGTCGGTGAGTGTATTCAAAATGTTTTGAGTTTCATTCATAAGCAAATCCTGTTACTTTTCAAGAAAAAAAAATGCTTAAAGGATTTCCTTTACACAGAATAGATGTGTGTATGAGTCCCTGACCTCATTCCTCCTGGAATTCTATACAATGAATCTTTTCAAATATTGAATTCATCTCATTTTCTACGATTGCGAACGCTACGTGTTCTTTACTATTGTGACACAGAAGAGGCAAAACCCAATGATGCATTACATCCCTCAGCCTAGATGTACAAACCCCATATTAACTGTGCAAAAGGTACAAAAACTAAACTTTGTGTGTATGTGTACTCACTAGTTACATAGAAATAGATCAGCCGCTCATCTTTGCCCACTTTGTTTTCAGCAGAGCACGTGTACATGACAGAAATGCTGGCGTTGCGTATCTGAAGCCTGCTCACTATCTGTTAGGTGAGAAAACGAGAATGAGACATCTAGTGCAAAGTTTAAAGGAAGCGCAGTCTGCTGTCCTGTAGCTGAGCAGACACTAAATCAGACCACCACACTCAGGTGCGACTCAATAAATGAATTTTTGCATGCGAGAGCATCTGTGTCAGTGATTGCGATGATTTCCTCTAATGGCAGGAGTTTATACATCGTGCAGACGTGTGGTCCTTATGCATGCATCTGGATGTGTTTATATTCAGCTCTAACAGGAAGCCTGCAGAGGAAAACTCTTCTAAATATTTCTACAGTGGAAATAGCTCCTGGTTGAAAAATTCTGTTATGGAGCTCTGAATTTAGGACACTTACATAAAAACAACGGTTCAGGGACAAGTCACGTTTACATTAACGTTTTCTTTTCTGCGTTGTGCCCTAATAATATAATTTATCGCTCACGCACAAAAACACATTTTAATCTATTGTGGTCAATTCATAGAAAAACTGAGTCCTAACGGCTGGAACCTTTTCCCGATTATCCACCACTTCAACGGACGTTTCGATCGATTCAATTTCATTCAAGGCGTTTTCTGAGTTAATCTCCCGCCAGTTCTGACAGTCTGCGATCCTCTCGCTCTGACCTTTCCTGTCTTGTCGGACCCTGGAGAAAAGCACAAACACATTTGCGGCATTGCATCAGACAGTGAAGAGTGGACAAGAATTCAGAAACGTATCAGACATCCTTGGCTGTACAAAGACCCGTTTCTCCCCCCTCCCCCCCCCCCATTTGAATTTCAGATCAGCTTGTATCCCAGAGCAAAAGCAATTAAATCAAGCGTCCCGGCAACTAAAGGGAAACAACCATTTCTATTATGATGATCGTCAGCGGGAACATCATGGCAGAGCTAATGAAACATGAAATGGAATCTACCAGTATTTGGCATTCTTACCCGAGGGACACGGTTCTACAAGAGGACCAATTAATGGGACTCAGTTTCACTTTATTTTACGCAGAATCATGAAAGAAAATTGAAAAATAAAAAAACACTACTTGAGAAATGTAAATAAATTAGTGGGTCTAATTTAACAAACAATAAAATAAAATAAACAAGACTGTGTTTGAACGTATGATATATAAGTAACAAAGTAACATCCATGTTTTTTATTTCATGCCAGAATCGATTTAAAGGAACGTTTTATTGTTTCTGTGCAGTCAGGGACTAAATGATATATAGTGCTGGTGTAGCAGGACAAGTTATAGATGTATAATTATAGTTTGGTCCGGGGTGCGTTACGGTGGCACAGTTGGTAGAGCTGTGCATGTTCTCTCCGTGCATGTGTTTTCTCTGGGTACTCCGGTTTCCTCCCGTAGACCAAAAACATGCGTGTTAGACTGATTGGTAACTCTATTATCCCTAGATGTGTGAGAGAGTGAATGGCTGTTTGTCTCTTTGTGTCCCTGTGATGGACTGGAGACCTGTCCAGGGTGTCCTCTGCCTCTCACACAGTGACTGCTGGATATGGGCACCAGTGACCCCCATGATCCGAAATGGAAGAAATGGGTAAAGATAATGGATGGATGAATGGGAGTTTGGCCTGGGCCAAAGTATATACCCAGAGGAATAAACTGTCCTCGGGAGTGTAAAAAAGCCTAGGCCAGATCATCCCCCCAGGTAAGAATATATCAATTTAACGTGGTAATCTCAAACGATGTCTCGTTCAGTAACGTGTATCACAGAGTCATGAACCGTGACAATTTCAACAGTAAATTGGTTGAGATTTCAATTTGTCAAGAAATGACAAATCTTTGATATCTTTTGTTACAAACTAAGAATATTTGCACCGTTTAAAATGAATCAGGGATGCAAAATGGTGGACACAACAAACAATGCAAGCAAGTAGAGCGGTCATTTCTAACCCGAGCCCTAAGCCTGGCTCCACCCGACCCGAATTCGGGGTGGGCCGGGCCATGATAATGTGCTGGATGTTTGGGCCGGGTCGGTGTCGGGTTTTTAATTGTGTCAGGATCAGCGACAATCCAATTATATGATAACATGGCCTGCCATACAATCACAAGCCGCACACAGCCATTTCACCGCGAGCTGACTGGCCTTGAAAAAGGTAAAAAGTTCTGTTCAGCTTCAGATGGTACTATACTGCCAGGCAGGAAGCGATCCATCGCCCAAATGGACCTTCATTCTGCCGCTGCACTCAGCGGACGCACAAGGCCGACGACCCAAACAGGTGAGAGCCCAAAGCAGACGTGTCAGAGCAGGGTCCATGAATAAATCAGATTGCAGGCAGAAGCAGGGATTAAATGCTCTTTTACGGCCATGAAAGAACAAACACCCCCTCAGCTCCGAATCTTCTGCCCCTTAATTCATGTCGCTGACCGTTAAAACAGTAACTAATTAAAAATGTTGGGGTTGTTTCCGGGTTCAGACCTGCAATTACTGTTAATTTGTTGGATCGGGTTGGGTTCAGAAATTATGACTGTGGGCTGTGGCACCGGGTCAGATCAGATTTTTTTGGCCCAAATGCAACTCTACAAGCAATGGGAGTTTGCTGGAGCAACGAGGAATGGGCTATTTTCTATATTTTCCAGGATTTACTCATTTCTTGTTCTAATAGACATAATGAAACTATTTTAGTTCTTGTAGGAGCTCAGGACTGATTAAGTCCAGTCTTTATTGTTACTGTAGTCAATTTTAGGTATTAAGTAAAAAACAAAAATAATTAATTCTTGTACGTAGGACTCGAAACTACTGATAACATTACAGTCTGGCCTGATGGCGATATAGGCTACAATATACTCAGTGTATAAACTAGCCTAGGCCCCTTTGACCCCAGGTATAGTGGACTGGGGGTATACTTTGGCCAAGATGGCCGCGCTCAGCCGAGCCACAGCTCCAGAGGCTCCTGGTGAACTCGAGCAGGACACATTATCCCCAGTTGCTCCTCAAGCGTTTTCCACAGCTGCCCACTGCTCCACATGGAGGTGGATGGGTTAAATGCAGAGAGACAATTTTGCCATTGTATGGGAACATACAATGATGACAATACACACACTATTAACAACAACAACAACAACAACAACAACAACAACAACAACAACAATATTATTATTATGTTCCTGTTATTTTTGTTTTAACTTTTTGTGTGCATATAGTGCACATCCAGAGTACGGGTCTGACCGTGACACACTTGTGGAGTTTTCTGCCATTGTGGTTCATTCCTTCCAGCCTCGGGCTCAGGCCTGTCATGGCAGCTGTCTCCATGATCCTCCATTGGACCGAACTCTACGAACCCATTCGGTTCCATGGGGAAACCTTTGATGCTCTCCGTCTGCCGGACCCAGTTCTGGAGGGCAGTCTGGGAGGGCTGCAGTCATTGTTACCATCGGGCTGCTGACGGACCTGCTAACTAGACTTGCTAATGCCGCTAACAAGACCACGCCGCTAACAGTACCATGGCACCAACAAGACCATGTTGCTAAGAGAAACCTCACTGTCATCAGAACTACTCTCCTACTAGGACCATGCTGCTATAGATTTATTTCTTTTTCACTTGTGGCACCTTGTTTCTGTATTTTTGTTGCATGCTTTAAATAAATCCCAGTTTATGTTAGTTTAGTTTATGTTAGTGCTCGTATTAAGCATGTAAATTATAGCTGAACAGAACCTATGAGAATCGTGCTGCTGTTGCTCCATGTGTTGTTTTGCACTATTAGTGACTAGCGTATATCTTAGATCGTTTAGCGTGCCGTTAGGCGTTTGTTTAGCGTATATCTTTATTTATATCAAGATTTGTGCTCACCAACCACACCAACAAAACTATGGTTTGATTAGTCTCTTAAGAATGATTTGTTCAATTAGCTTTGTAGAGATCTAGTAGAGCGCTGTATGAATGGGTAAATGAGGGCACAGATTGTAGTGTAAAGTGCTTTGAGTGTCTTGATAAAATAAAAAGGTGCTATATACAGTAAGTACAGTCTTTTTACCATTTACCACTACAACCACAAAGATTATAAATGTCCAATATCCTTGAAGTGCATCCACAAGACACAAGACGGACACAAGAAAACTCCTAAAAGACCAACAGAGTACAAAAGACATTCAATTCTGATACACAAGAAAAGGTCAAAACAAATGCATATCAGTCAGTGCCCATAAAATGCCACATCAGATGCACTATGAATGTAAAACAACATAAACTAGACAACTAAGGGGAAAGTTCTGCTATACTGTGATAAGTGTACGGTGTGTGTACTTCTTATAAGAGCACATTGGGTATCTTGGGTCTGCAACACGGAAAGGTCAGAACAGCAATAACTTTAAAAAAAATTAAGCCCTGGGGGAAGACGGTGGAGGAATGTAACTACAAAAAGGAAATTCAGCAACAGCACCCACAACAGAAAACATAAAAGAGGTGAAAATTGTCGCCCAGGGAATCCATTAAATCATGCTGTGCCCTTCAGAAGAGTTAAAGAAAGTGAGAAAAATCCTGAGGCGACACTTACTGATAAGTGTTTGTTTGTTTGTTTCAGTGTTCACATGTACTTTTAGACATAAGTGTGTGATATGTAGCCTCATGATGGGTAAAAGCACATGTGTAGCTTAATGTTTTTTTTTCTGTTCATGTGGATTAATCTACTGTTTATCAGAAAGTGAAACTGCTGTGAGACGGACCATGACGCTGATTTGACATGTTTCGTTGCCCTCCTCAGAACTTTCATCATCTCCTCTGTTCTCTAATCTTCCACCCCGTTCTTGAGTCAGAATCCTTTTTTAGTTTAAACTAATTTAATTTTTGCTGTACACTTATTTTCCACACTTTTCTTTCTGCTCACAGAAACATCAATGGACTGAATAAATGGACTTTGGTATTGCTTACAGTCGGTTTTGAGTCCGGTTGAGGACACAGGGGCCCCAGGGCCTCCACTGCCAGCTGATGTTTGGAGCAGGGAGACCGTAGGCAGTACATGTTAGCGTCTGACTGCTGCCACTGGGGTACGGACTGGAGGGATCAGCCACTTCTTTCTCATGAATCTGTGGGGGAACTGAAAAACACCGGAGCCAGTCAATCAACTCAACCAGCCACAGCTGTAATATTCATGGTTGTAGCCCTAATTTTACTTTGTTTTCAGTGTCAAGGAAGAAAACAACTTAATGATAGCCTGGCAAGGCTCATGAAAACCTTGTATTTCAATCTTTTATATATTTTTTAATTTATTTTTTTATTTTTGATGCGAGGACACTGGTGGAACTACAAAAACAACCTTATTATGAGTGCATTGATATTTTCACGATTTAAAAATATATATATTTAGAATGTACAATATTATGACCAACATTACAGAATTTAGGTACTACCCCAAACTACTATACATTTAATTAGAAAATAGTATGTAAAGTTCATAATAGTAAATTTTGCATTCTAAGGAAACATTAGAATAATGTATTCTTCCAAACTGCATCTGTTCCATATTGATATTTAAATACATAGTTTTACATTGTAAAATGCACCACAGGAATTTTAAGGGGTGATGTTTTGATTTCCACTTTGTCACCAACACGTTTACACTTTTTTTGGTTTCACCCAAAAGTAGGCGGGGCCATAAGAAGGACAAGAAAGTGATGAGATGTTGCTCCAGACTATTACAGCCAGACCAAAGGAGCTGCTACATACCAATGAGTTGTTTAACATCCATTTGAATTAAAAAAAAATGAAAATGTAGTGTCAAATAAAAAAATATCACTTTAGAAAATAGTAATTGCAACTATTTTTGACCAAAATGATGCTATTTAGTTAAAGCTGATATAAAACTCACATATCCTAGACTTGTTACTTACAAATGGGACTGTTAAAGCTGCTTTAAAGAACTGTTGTTTTTATTAGCTTCTTTATAAGTTACTGCTACCACAGTGTACTGATCAAGTCCCAGGAATATAATTCTATACTACGCATGTAAGCAGAAGGCACTTATTGGTCCTATTTTCCACTGAGGGTAGCCGGCACCAAGTTCACATACCGTTGACAACAAGCGTGATGTTAAGCCTCTTCTCCAGCGAAGCCGCTCTGTTTCTCAGAACCACCGTGTACAATCCCAAATCCTCCTGACAAACCTCCTTAATCTCCAAAGCATGGTTAGAGTGCATCCTTATCCTTTTCATTTTGAACTCTGGTCGGTTGTTTATCAGCTCCCCATTTTTATACCTGGACACAAGACACACATAGCTGCTACAGCACAAAAAAACGACGCTGCCTAGATGTTCCGGTCATTGGTTAATCTCTAACGGGTCTAAATTGCTGCCATGTTAGGCCTGGTTTTACTTCTGAAAACTTCCTTTTACATTTAATGACTGCACCAGAGAGTCTTATGTTACCATTGAGTTTCCGGTGTGGGGAAGGCAGAGACGTTAAGCTGCAACTTGAACGACTTCTGGCCGGCAGTCACCTCTACCACAGGTCCATCTCTGTAGTCAAGGTTGATAAACGGCCTTTCTGGAATTAGAGGCATTTTGTTGTTTACATAAAGTGCTCGCGGCTTTAAAAGCTAAAAGTGGGCGCACGAAACACTCAACCACTGTGGACTGAAAGGTGGTTTTAAAAGGTTTTTCTTGATGTCTCCTTTCCATACGGACATTTTGTGGTCTGGATTTTGAAAACAAATCTTATACTGGAGTGGATTCCTAATGACAAAACCACTTTAATAGTGCGAAACACTAAAAGCATAAGTAGTCACACAAACTAAACTGTTCACAGCAATTTGAGGTGTAACACAAATCACAACATGAAACACAATATAAAGCAGATGTGTTACAAGGAAAAAGTGTGACTGATATACTGACAGACCAGTTCAGAAAGAGTTCTGGGATCAAATGTTACCACCTATAAGGTAGAAATGATCATTTATAGTGAATTCAAAGCTGTCTGAGAAAACGTTGTGTTCTTATACAAATTCATTCGAAAGAGCAAATTGTAAAGCCATATTAAAGAACAATCTAACATGCTTTGGGAAGTCATGACTGACATTTTTATTTATAAAGTTATTTATCAAAACTTCCTGCAATGTAAACAAAACGGTGTGTTACAAGATGCTTTTTGTAGACATGGAAACAAAAAATCTCTCAAAAATGCTCAGTTTCTATAAATAAGGCAGCATTTTAATTTAGCTGCTAGTCCATTATGGCATAAATGGTTAAGTTAATTTGTAACGTGTTGTTGCTTAGTGTCTTTAAATACTGCAGATACAAGAAAAGTTTGATTTTTTTGTATTGGGGCTCTGTATAATCAGTAGTCATTATCTTACCTGCAGTAGACATGTTGTAGAATTGAGGAGAAATTGTAATGAATAAGTCAAGCCAACAACTCATCAAACAAGCAAACAAAACAGTTTTTTTGTATAACTATCCATACCTTTATGGTGTAAAGTTTTACAATAGAGCATTGATTTAAACTGCTATGAAAATCTTGAGGTGGGATTCATTTAAAATTTTGGAAAATCTACTCTAAAACTAGCCCCAATCTGATTTCTTGATAGTTTCACTCTGTAAGAATTCGCTGACTCTTTAAATGGAGATTGTGCTTGCTGTCTACTGCAGGTAAGATACTGACTACCCATACCTACCCTAAAGAAACCTAATAAAAACAATCCCGACTATAAAAAAAAATTCCATGCTCAATAATCCAGGTATACAATCCAACAATTTTCAGTCAGGTCATCTTGTCATCAGATCAATCCCAACTATCCCTTTGAGCTGCATGGAGAAGGATGCTAGCATGTGCAGTACGTGGATTGTTATTTTGGTTAGGTCTTCTCAGTGTGGTGTTACTGCTCACCATAAACTGTGACTTGAATCTGTAGGGTCTCTGTTGTGTCCATGCTGGTGACGTTGCATATGTACGGTCCCGTATCTGTGATGTTGACGTTGTAGATGGTCAGGACCCGAACAGCCTCTGTGGCGTGGGACAGAGCTTCTCGATGGGGTTTCTCTACGCAGCTGTTTGTCTGGTGAGCAGAAATAAACTGATTCTAGCTGAAGAGTTGAACTCTTGTTGGAAAATCAGCCGAGGGAGTACCTGTTTACCAGGATAGGACCACTGAATGTCCACCCCAGCGTTGAACTCCACCATGGCTGTGCAGTTCAGAGTGAGGGCCTCCCCCACCAGAAGCTCCACTGGCTCCTCAGGAAACAGCTTGACATCGTAAATCTGACTTCCTGTCCGGGAAAAAGAAAGGAAAAAAAAAAGATGGGAGGGGAGGGTGACAACATGAGAGGTCACAGCGACATGGTCAGCAGATTTTCCTTCCTCGCAGGACTGGAGGAAACGGACTTTCCTTTGCACCAGAGAAGACATCCTACTATAAAGACATGTTCTGTCACAACCTTGCACCGTTTCCTTTCATGTGTCAAGCCACGTCGCTAAAGGAAATAAAAGTGGAACCCAGCGACGCTTCAAGCAAAGATAAGAGAAAAGCCTCGAAAGCTTTGGTCAGTGGCCATGGAAGCTGAAATTCAACTCATGTCTTTTTACCCTCGGTGAAAATGATGATGGTGTCTCTGCAACAGACTGTGATTGCCCGATTGTTTAAAACACCCCATTAGTCTTTAAAGTGAGGACTCCATTCTCCTCTGAAGGATGCGGCTATTATTTTTGTCTGGCAGCAGTCGAGATAAGTTTCCTCTCCTCCTCTACAAGAGTGAGGTGCATCATCTCTCACCACAGAGCAAAGACCCCCTCAGGGGCCTCGGAGTTTGCTCACAACGAAAGGAAAGCTTCTGCACACACACATGCACATACACAAAAAACAACAAAGTTCATCAACTTTATTTCTGAAATCCAATTGTGACTTCCATTTCCTTCCTTTTTCTGTATTTTCTTCAGATTCTGCCACCATAATGGCTCATGTTCCACTCGAACAAAGAAAATAAAAGGAGTTGCCTTTGAGAAAATTACATTATTCAATAAAGGTCTGAAATTTTCTGCACTACTGCGTAACTGGTTCACTCTGAATTATTGTGACAAGACAGTGAGAGCAGCGCTTCAAATCTCAGTCGTATACTTTGTTCCTGGAGTTGGAGCTTGTCGTCTCTGTTCGTGTTAAAGCTTGCACGACTTGTACATTTCATGCTTTTACAGCCAATGCTCATTTTTACCTGTAGAGTGGACCAGGTAGCTGGCAGAGTGATACTCGTTGCCTCCCAGTGAGGCCACACATCCAACAATGACCATGGGCACGCTGTCAATGACCCGTCTGGGAATGGTCCAGCCTCGCTTGTTGCTCCACGTCATCTCGCTCATCTCCAGAGGTGCTGAATGCTGTTGGAGTGGAAATAATACATGAAAATGATTGTCTCTAATGCAGTGAGTTGCAATAAGTATTCATCCCTACGGCACTCTCTCTATTAAATCACATAAACTGACATTTAAATGGATTTTCCATTTGATTTTTAATCACCGGATCTACATGAAAAACTCCAGAATAATGAATTTAGGTGAGGGGTTGTCGATAGAGGTGGATATGGTGCCAAAGTATTTACACCTGTCAAATGATAAGAACATGTAACGGCCTCTGGAACCAACACCAGTTCAACACCTCGAAGCAGAAAGGTCTACCACCAAGCAAGAGACAGTATCACAGAATCCTAAACGTCCTACAGAGGTCTCTTGAATCCATTAGTAGGAAATTAAAGGAATATGCCACCGCAGCAAGCCAGCCGGGTTATGGATGGGACAAGAAGGGTATAAATGGGAATAGTAACCAGGAGGTCAGAAATAACCCTGATGGAGCTGGACAGCTCTTCTGTAGAGATGGGAGGATCTGTCCATAGGACCACTGTAAGCAACACAGAGCTGGGCTTCATAGAAGAGTGGCCAGAAAAAATGATAACAAAACAAAAAAGAAAAAGACAGATGATATGGAAGATGACAAAATATATATTGGAGAGTCCTCAAACATGTGAAAGAAGGTGCTGTGATCAGATGAGACTAAAATGTAGCACCTTGTCCCATGCAAACACAAGACAAGCTGAAATCCCCATGGTGAAGCACGGTGGTGGCAGCATCATGCAGTGGATTTTTCATTCATTGGTAGGAACTATAAAACTGGTCAGTGTTTAGGTAAAGATGGATGCAGCAAAACACAAATTCCTGAAGGAAACCTGTTGGAGTCTTCCAGTTAAGAAGGGGCAGAGGGTCACCTTTCACAAGACAATGACTCTAAACACATAGCCGAAGCAATATTCTTGTGATTTAAGGAAGAACAGTTAAACGTTCCAGAATGGCCCAATTAACCCAGACCTCGATCAACCTGAAGGCTCTAGAGTAGTTTGGTCATGAAGAATTGACCAAAATCCCACTGGTTAGATGTACCAAGGTCATGGAGATGGACCTAAGGAGACTTGCTGATGTTTCTTTTGAAGTGCAAAGTTAAACCTTCCACACATCATTTCAAAGTCCAGCCTGTAAGGTAATACGAGACAGGATACCAGGGGACGGGACGTATACTTTTGCAACCCACTGTACATTTGAACGGCATTGCTTGACAGCTTCAACAGGTGGTATATGTTGAGGGAGGTGATGCGTACTGAGACGAGGGTGACGTTCAGATCCGGCACCGTGACCAGACACGGCACATCGACGTGCGTGGTGAGGCGGGTGATGAAAATGGTTTCCAGGCCGTTTGCGTTGCCATCGTTGGAGCTGCCTCTCGTCAGAAACGGCTGCGTAGGATCTAGATGCAGAAAAAAAGGAAGCCGTTAAAAGGTAATCTCAATACCAGCTGTGGTAATAGCAGCTATTACCCAGCTAACTTTGTGAACGAACGCATGGATCTCCAGCAGCCTGATAACGTCCCCCCCGGATGAGCTGTGTGAGTAGTTTATCATGATTACAGACGCATCAGTCCGTCCCCAGCAGCACATAAGGACTGTTATTACCGGTACATACAGACACAGGGCTAGACAGCCAAAGGTTTAATCTTCCTGATACTGTTTCACCTCAAGCTGTCTGTTGGAGGGGAAGTAGCTCTGCTGTGTTTCTCTTTTTATTGTCTGACTCTACTGAAGCTTTGGAAAACATCCCAGCGACTCTGTCACCAATTTACATCACAGCCAGCGCAGAAGCTCATATTCGCATGGAAAGATAACACATTTATATTAAAACGCTTATCTCCCTGCCTTTGAAAAAAGAAATCAACACTATGGAACATCATCCAGATATTTTGAATAACCTGCTTTTCATTCCATTTTTCTGATTAGCTTTCTATTATTGTATTTTCCTGAGCAGAGCTGAAAGCGATCTTCTTAAGTTGTTATGGGGCCAAAACAACGGCTTCTGTATCTTTCTTGTGGTGAGCTAAATACACTGAAATAACTCCTCCACATTTTAGGAGTCTGCTCAGTAAATAACTGCAGACATCAGGAAGACAAGTTTGAAATGCAGATTTGTATAGAAGAAAACGCACTTGCATACCAATATACGCAAGTCCCTTGCTAATTAGAAAACTTCTGCGAGGCTGATAAAGTGTCACATTTTGTCATTATTTTTTACTTTCAGTCAAATTAACTGGGATCAGTTAGAACATTGGCGAAGCAACGACACTGAGCCAGCTGAGCACATCTGCAATTTTCTACACGATAATGGACTGATCTGAAAACAGCAGAAACCTCTCGGTTATTGCACTCATGGGCTCTGTCTTTAACACCGAAGAGAAATACGAGAAGAACGGGAAACAACTGAGGTTTTAGAGTTAGAAAAATCCCATTTGATGAAGCGTGACCTACTAAAGATTGTACTCCAATCAGCACGGTTACTACAGTAATCAGGATGTGTAGAACGAGCTGTATAGGATCATTAATCAGAGCTGCAGTGGCTGCTAAGATGATGCTATGGGTGATGCACTTCCTGAATGAAAGTACTTCAAATTCAACACATAGATTATCAACAGAGATTTGAATTTCTTGTGTATCTCAAACAGTGTGAAGGACACTGGATTAGGTTAGATTACATGGACAACATCCAAACACCACTCTTTATTTGCTCAAATTGAGCCCAGCATGTTTGGCACAAACCTGACCAGACCTCCAGTGAATTCATCATCTTGACTGTGGTTCTATTCAGCTGTGTGACTTAAACCGTGCTGGAAGAAGACATTTTATTGATGGCACCATGAATGCCTGCAGACGAGCCAGAGCACTGGCTGAAAACATGGCTCCCAGTCCTGAGAAGCTTGGCAGAAGAGAAACATTCAAGCAGAGTAAATGTGCCAAGATACACTGCTGCTGAAATCACAGCCGAGCGTCGAGAAGAGAACAAGTCAAGAATTATACCTTAAAAAATAAACTTTTTTGGGGTGGTATTTTAAAAAGATGGCTCAGAACTTTTTTAATAGGGTTCAGTTAATAGGTTATGAATAATCAATATCTTACCTGTGGTAGATGACTTTTTATATGGCTTTCATTTAGAGGAGCCAATGTCAGGGTTGTGGGAACATTTTGTTTTTTTGTATTTGAGTTTGTTATTTCATGTTTGGTTCTTTGTGTTCAGAGTAGTTCCCGGTTAGTTTGTATTTTTGTTGTCTGTTGTGTGGTATTCTGGGATAGGCAAACGTTTTCCGCTTTGCCCTCTGAAATTAATAGGCAAGATCACGTGACTCCTCGATTCAAAACCAGTCAGCAGAAAGACAACACGCACCGTTTCTTTTATACATGATCACTCGCTCCTTCACAAAGGTAAACAAAAATGGTCAAACCCTGGTTTGTGCTTGGACACACAAATAGGTGAGAAAAGTAGAGTAGAATTTTCTGGCACTGTATACCAAGTACAACTGACCCAGATAGACAAATTAAACTTCACCATCCTCATTGTTCATTTTCACTCACACCTGCTTCCCATCAGTGACCCACTCACCTGTGTTTCAAGTAATTACCCTCCCTGATATTTACGTATATTCCCTGTTCTTTTTGTTTGTTTGCCTTTTTTTAATTAGTTCCCTGTTGCTTTGTGTATCCAGTTAACCTGTGTCGGTCCTACTTAATTTTGGATCTTTTTATTGTCTGGATCAACATCTGGGTCAACATCGCTCATTTTTTCATGGCAATAAAGTAAAATTGTGGCTAAAGTGATGAGCTACTAGCTAGTCAGAGTGAATTGCAGTGTAAACAAAGCCAACTTTAAAAAAGTGGTTTATGTGAACCTGGGTAAATCTTCACATTGCCCATATTGAACCCAAACACCAAAATTCTATATAACTATTTCTCCAAACTGAGGGGTTTTGCAGCGCTATCTAGAACAGGTAGGATACTTACTATTCATATCCACAGAAGTGCACTCAAAAGATATTCCTTTAAAGAGAATAAGTAGCTAGTGTTTTTTTTTTATTTTTATCAAAAAGTAAAAATTTATGATGTACAGATATATTCTGTGTCAAACTCAAGGTCTGAGGGCCAACTCTGGCCCTTGTTAACATTTTATCTGGCCCTCAAGATGATATTTAAGTAAAATGTTTGTTATCGTCTCTCATTGTTTAAAAACCTAGCATCCTTTATTTAGTCTTCAGATGACAGTGGGTCAATTTTGAAGTCAAGAAAATTTTGTTTGAGTTGTTCATTAAACTTTGATTTTGATGTGGAAAAAGCCAAAGAGAAGGTCAAATGAACCTGCAGCCAAGAAAAGATGTCAGACTGGAGTTAATGCACTTACAGAAATTGACCCTTGGTTTGAATCAAGTTTTCAATTTGGCTCCCCTTTGTAACCAATATGACCCCCCCCCCCCAACCCCGTTTTGAGTCTCAGACACAAAAATTGATTTCATGCACCGAGCTGCTACAACAGAACCTGTAATTTTATTGAAATAAATCAGAACAAAAAGGTTTATAATTTTACTTGGGAGCAAAATATCCTAGTTTCAATGATATAGTTTCAAAGATAATCCTGTTTTGACCGAGGTGTTCTCTGATAGTTTGTGAAAGGTTCGTGTTCGCATGTTTGGTGGACAGCATGCAGCACAGACGGGGCAAATGGTCCACATTTGCCTGTCTAAATGAAACCACATGTGCACCGTCTCATCCTGCTCCACTCCGGGGTCTCATTTATTGCTGCGATTACATCTGCTTCAGTTAGATCTGTGGAAATTGTTTTGGCACATGATCAGGGATGAACTGGTGTTTCACATGAGTGGTCTGGTCAGCAGGACTCCTCCCCTACATGAAAATCATCTGTTTGAATCTACTGTACCTCACATGTCTCCCTCACAGCACAGAAACAAGAAAAATAAAAAAGATCAGCCTGGAAGCCAGGGCCACAATCCTAAAGGTGATATAGGACAGAGAAAGTTGGTAGTCAATTCTGGAACAAGATTAAAAAGAAAAAACTATGGCTGCAAAGTCTGTGTGGTTCTTTTCAAACTGAGAAAGTGCTGACATATTTCATTATTTAGAAATATTAAAAGAAACCCTCTCTCTGTACGAAAGTAAATGATCAGACCTGTCTCATTATCAAAACCTTTGCATCCCTTATTTATGAAATAATACTCCTGTCAGCTTCCAGGGTGTTCCTGAGGCCAAATGAACCACTTCCAGTCCCAACTAAGCAGTGATTCAAGTAATATTCAAACAGAAGATCTGCTTCAATACAAAGCCTCAGTTTTCCTGTGAACCTCCCTAGGATAACACAATAAAGCTTCCACAGAGCTGCACACCACGAGTTATAAAGAAGAAAGAAAAACTGTGGTTAAAAATTAGAAGTTTTGTTAAAACTGACAATTTTATTTTCATAATTATCTAAAAATTACCTTTAAATGACATCAGAAACACGTTCAAGCCATCTTTGATAATGGGTGTTCCATGTTGAGCCAGATGTACATTAAATTATAATTTTCACTGTTAAAAGGAATAGTCAAGATCTTTTTAAATGGGATGTTGTGAAAAAGCTACAAACATAATATCTTACCTGTTGTAGATAGCTTTATAAACGACTTCAGGTTAAAGATTTGGAGTATATTTCTGACCAGATCAACAAGCTGATGACCAGTCCAACGGGGGGTCAAGACACAAGTGTCAGAAATGTCATATCATTTCATGCAAACAGTTATTTCATGACCCCGTACAGTGCAGTTAGTTTATTTAATCCAACAGATTTATGATGCACCTGCCAGAGGTGAGCTGCAGCTGGCTGCTCCTGCTGTTTGTGTCTTAGTTTTCAGGATTTGGACCCAGGAATTTAGACAGACACACACACAAAAAAAGAATAAAACTAAAACTTTACTTTATTTAAACAAAACAAAAGGTAAATTCCATTGATTTTATCTTTGAATGGTGCTCCTATTGAGTTTGTCGATTCCTATAAATATTTGGGTATCTTGGTCGATTCGAATCTCTCTTTTAAGCTCGACGTGGAAAACTCGGTAAAGAAACTGAAAGTTAAAGTGGGTTTCCGTTTCAGAAATAGATCCTGTCTATATATAGTTCTTAACCAATGAAACAAAATGAACCTAAGCCGCCGAGGAGCTGCTGGCAGGCAATGGGTTGACACGTCGTCCTCCTGGATCCAATGAATGAATGCTTGAGGTTCTTTTGTAGAGCATTTATTATCTTGAGCTCTGCAACTAGATACAAATTTTAATGCTGCACACTTACAGTCGACTTAGTACAAACAAAATGTTCACATAATTGCTGCATCGAAGTAATCAAACAACAAAATTAAACAACGACGACGAAGATGACGACGACGAAGATGACGACGACGAAGATGACGACGACGAAGATGACGACGACAAAGACCACGGCGAAGACGGTCAAAAACTGTGTTTCTGCCGCAATCAGCACACCTGCTGAGAGGTTACCTGTGACTCCATTTAACCATACATGATGCCACCCATTGTCTCTTTCAGATATTACACCAAACAAAACAATAAATACCAGTACATAAACACCCAAAATATGGCTCTAATACTGTCTAACTCTGAACGCTAGAAAACGCCTTGTATCTGTGAATTTCCTTCCCTCCATTGATTACGGTGACATTATTTACATGAACGCTCCTACAAGAACCCTGCAGATGTTGGATGCTGTCTATCACGGTGCACTAAGATTCATAAGTGGATTCAACTACCGTACCCACCACTTCACCCTGTATTCACTGGTTAACTGGTCATCATTAACTTCACACAGACTCTCTCACTGGTACATTTTCATCTTTAAATCACTTCTTGGTCTGCTGCCTTCATACATCTCCTCCTACATGTCTCTGCGTGAGTGCAGCTACAGCGTGCTCTCTCAGGACATTATTACCTGCAGTGTCTCCTCAGTGAGAACTGAACTATTCAAAGAACCTTCTCCTACTCTGCTCCTGTTTCCTGGAATGTCTTGCAAAAAGATCTGAAGCTCTCGACCTTCACCTCTCTAAGTGGCTACAAACATCTGGTAAGTTCCTGGCAAGAACCAATGCAGACATGTTCCTGTTTTTAGTTTTCTACATCGCTCTATTATGTAGCTGTCTTTTTAACATCCTTTTCTTCCATTTATTTATTTAATTTATATGCCTTCTTTTATGATTGTCTACTGTTGTCTTTGTTGTCTACTGCTGTTATGTTTTTGTCGAATCTGGATCATCAAAGATTTAATGGTGAACATGTTGTTCATTAGCAGGATTTATACTGACACACTCTATAATAACTCCATAATAAATACTCACACAAAGTTCAACTGACCCAAGAATGGAGACAGGGAGAATAAAAGAGCGACAAACGAAGAGATGAGAAACAGCCGAGCTTACTGAAACGGTGGAGGTGAGCGTAGGCGTGGCAGGACTGAGGAGTAAGGCTGCGTGACACTGCAGGTAAAAGTGGCCCAAATCTTATTTTTTGTGATAGTCTGAACATGACAGATCCAAGTTTTTCAAATCACCCAGATCATTTCCATGTAGCTATGGTACAAAATCGGACACAAAGCCAATGGTTTGCAAAGCGACTGCAGTCTGAAGAGTCATGATGCATTCCTTTCCACCTTTACGTCAGTGAGGTAAAGGTACATTGATCCAAGTGTTAATAATATTTGCAAAAGTGTAGATGAACATATGCTGTGATATATTCATAAATTAAA